TTTTAACCCTGATTTTCGTAATCAGCGCCCCAAAAAACATATAAGATGAGTTAGTTTGCAAAACAACAAGTACAGTCGAAAAACGCCCCTATATAGGGGTGTTTTTTGCAATTTTAGGGGTGTTCTCCAACCATTGCTGCCAGTTTTAACCCTCATTTTCGTAATCAGCGCCCCAAAATACGTAAGAGACAAGTGGTCCCGTCAAGTGCGGCGTTTCTCGACCTTTTACCGTTATTGACCGACTTCAAAAAAGAAGGAGGTTCTCAATTTGTCGAGATATATTTTTTATGTATGTTCAGCGATAATTCTTTAACACGGTGTTTGATTTCAATAATTCTTTTTTTGTTAGAAAGGGGCTACTTCAGGGGTGGTCCCATATAAATTTGGTCAAAATCTAATAATTGGGTCCATGAAAAAATCCTCAAACTCTTCATTTTTTATGTATTGTTAGCGATAATGCTTTACCACCTTGTCCGATTTATAGGATTCTTTTTTTGTTAGTAATGGGGTACCTCAGGGGTGGCCTCATATAAATTTGGTTAAGATGTGATGGCATCTGCAAGTTTTTGAAGTCGGTTTTTTGAAATTTTTAATTTCTAATACTTGTTTTAAATGGACTAAACAGTGAATGGTCGAGTGGGGAATCCTACCAAGGCATCAGAATTAATTTTAAATAGTTAAATTAAATTAAAAAAATCCCGGCCAACGGTGGGATTCGAACCTGGGACCCTTGGATCCGCAGGCAGAGACTACCACTGAGCCACCCATCCCCCTTAAAAACAAAATTAAAAAACTATTTAATAGATACTTGTGTGTACAGTATAGATGAGTACCTACCTCAATAATGCTATGTTGTTTATACCTGATTTATTTTAGTTATAGTTTTATTTATATACCTGACTTATTATCCTATATCATGTACTATGATCTAAAAGTACAAATAAAGATTTATTATTATTATAACGATTTTTCCAGATGCACTTGATCAAGTTTGTCGTTTGTGTCTTAAAGAAAATTGTACATCCAATATTTTCGTTGGAACACTGGCAAAAAATGGAAAAAAGTACATAGATTTAATTTCTGCGTTATCTGTTGTTAAAGTAAGTATACATTTTAATAAATCCTAGAAAAATATTTCGGTAAGACAAGAACCCATTAACAAATACCGAAAAAGCCGCTAAAAAGGTATATTACATGTGTACTGATAACCAAAAGCTTGATATTCCCAATATTATATATTTTACGTTGTAAAATGCAAGCATTATTTCACCACCTAATATGATTAGCTAATAAATAATCAGATTATAATGAAATGATAAAAACTTGAAACTAGTTGGCCTCACCATTTCTAAAAACAGGATTTTATACCTTTTGAAAAGTGTTTCCTACTATTCGTTTATTTCTTTTTTTTTAGGAAGTAATATCATTTTTGTTTATAGAAAATTTAAATAAAGCAATACTATTAATCCTTGGTCAAGTAGAAATGCAGCAGATGCCAATCTAAGAATTTATTCTAATGCTTTTTTATTCTCCTTTTAGGTACAGGAAAATGATGGTTTCCCATCCAAAATATGCAATACTTGTGCTAATAAACTATACGATTTTTATATGTATAAGCAACAGATAGAAACCACGCAAATACTTTTGTGCATTGCTCTGGGTAAGGTAATGGTACAACCTGCTAAACCGTCTAAAAGTTCCGAGTACAGCCTTGAAATAAAAAATAAGAATTTAAATATAAAGAATGAAATAATTACAATTGATGATGATGATGATGAAGATAATAAGATAAATTTTGGAAATAAGGATGCCTCTTCAAGTGTTGAAAAGGAAAATGTGCAGGAAATAAACTTGAACAAAAATCCAAATAAAATTGATAGACAAACTATACTAATTGTTAGTAAAAATAGTACAGGAGGTCCCATGCTTAACAATATTTTACCAAATAAGGAAACACAAAACATTGAAGATGGTAATAATTTTGGTATAAAACCTTAGAACCTATAGATTCAAATTGTATAAATTCATTACATTTTTAGCAGTTATGAAATGTTGGAAAAAAAATTACAAATGCATATCTTGTAACAGTGATCTAAATACACATCCAGAGCTCAAGTTTTATAGTTTTCCACTAGATCCTAAAAGGTAAATTCACTTTAAAAAATGGTAAAAAAAAAACTTATATTCAATAAGCAATAAATAAAAAATTGGCAACTGGTTTGAGACTATGTCTTTTGTAGATGCAATGACTGGAAACGAGCTTTGAAATTGGCTAAAATAGATCCTTTATCACCTATAACTCTACACAAAAATGTTCATCTATGTAACAGACATTTTACACCTTCAATGTTCTGTGGTAAATTAAAAAATAAACTTAGAAAAACTGCAGTGCCAATAGATTTTACTGAAGACTGTAAGTGAATTTATTTTAATAATTAAAGTTTTTAATTTATATTTATATTTAACATAATATGGAATATTGATATAGGACAAGTGTTATGTTTACAGTTAGTTTGGTGTATACAGGGTGTTAAAAAAAGTGTCACAAAATAAAACGGGGGGTAGTATGGGCCAAAATATGCAGAAAAGTCTTAATAAACATATGTCCGTAAATGAATGGTTTCAGAGATACGGAGTGTTTTGTGTTTTGTATCATTTTTTGATTATCTTTTTTCATTCTCAAAAACTTGCTTTTCTTATCGGAGTCTACCGATGTTTTTTCATAGATACTATTTGCAGTTATTATTTTGTTGTGGGTGAATAATTTTATAAATTTTCGTTATGCCTGTTTACACTAATATTGAATTAGCTGACATGCATTTTATGTACGGTCGTGCAAATGGCAATGCATTGAAATGGAGGGAGGGCACTTTGAACATCTCATTTAACTCTATGTTGTTATTGATTGTTTATAAATATCATTGTTTTTTTATAATAATAAAAAATTGTTATAAACACAAAATGGTCCGTATCTCCGAAACCGTTAATTTGCGGTCATATATTTATTAAGACTTTTCTGCTTATTTTGGGTCATAATATTCACCATTTCATTTTGTGACACTTTTTTTTTAACACCCTGTATTAAAACTTATTTTTACTTCGCCTTCCACTTCGGTGTCACAAGCTGAATTTTTCAGGGATGAAAGTACATGATAAGCTAACCCTTATTTCGAAGGTAATACAAAATTAGACAGGACAAAAGGGCACTATCATAAAAAAACGAGTTATTGATACTACCATATAGAAGAAAAAAATGCTTATTTTTGTTCTAATGTACAATTAAGTCTTTGTAGTATATAAAGTATTTTTTTATAATTATTTAAAAAAAAAATAATTTGCATTAGACCCTATGGTCAAAAAAAAAAAATTTAAACGTCAATATCTCGGTTTCAACCGTCCACAAATTTGTATAAAAAATCTTTTAGAAATATACCTCTCATTTGACGAAAAACGAAGGCCTAAATGAAAAAAAAAAACTATTCTTCATAAAAGTTTCGCCTATGTATTGACAAGGTAACAGTGTTTTCCCCATATTTTTTTGCTTTTAAAATATTAAATTATTAATTGTATGCATTACTCTCCAGTCTCTAAACGACTTATAGCATCAGAAGTATTGATAAGAACTAAAAAATCTCTTTTCCGGAAATATAGATGAATTATTTCCAATATATATGTAAGTATCTTAGACCTCAAACATCATACTTCTTGAAACCTTTCCTAGAAAATTGCACAGTTTTCTGTAAATTAATAGTGTATTAGCAATATTATATTTTTAAAACATATTTTTAAAATGTTACATTGGTCATCATACTATTTATAAATTGTTTAAATATCGTTATTCTTAGCTTTTGAATAATACATCATTGTGTAAATAAATATATAAATAAAAATTTTAACACAATTCTTTTATTACTGTACAATTTTTCTGTTAATGATACGCCCATGGCAATAATATCAGTAATGTAAACAACGACGCCATTTTCAACCTGGTCTGACGTTTAATGTTGGTGTGTAAACAAACAATATTTATGAATGGGTTGTGGTAGATGTGGCTGAAACCGAGATATTTACGTTTATATTTTTTTTCGGCCGTAAGGGCTAATGCAGTATAAACAATTACTCCCTACAAAGATTTTATTGTGCATTGGACCAAAAATTGAGTATTTTTTTTCTCTATTCGGTGGTATCAATATCTGGATTTTTGATGATAGTGCCCTTCTGCATAGTCTAATTTTGTATTACCTCCGACACACTAATATGAACATTTTTTGTCTTTACAAAATAATCCTCGATATATAAATACAAATTAAGTAACTTTTTATGTTATTATGGTATATGCAAGACAGCATATTATTGGGTAGGTCATTAAAAAAAAACTGATGTAAGTTTTAGTTAAGGTTTCTTAGTTGTATTAAATAGTTTTTCCCTCTGGTGTTGTAATTATGACTTTCTGCCATATTTTGAAACAAATGCATGTTATTCTTTATGTATTTAAGGTTTTGATATACTATTAAGGAGACAATAGTAATAAAGTTTAGTTTTGTAAAGGTTTACAATGTTCATACTATAGGCCAGCGGTTCTCAAACTTTTTTGGTGACGGAACCTTTTTGAAACGCGTAATATTTGACGGAGCCCTAAACACATTTCTAAAAAAAAGTCGTCCGAGTAAAATCCTCCTTGCTCTCTAGCCTCTTGCTAGGTCCCTCCCGTTTCTTTGCGGAGCCCCTACAACAAAATTCTCAAAATAATATCCTTTCCTCATCCTTCCTCATACCAAAATCATATACTTTTTTTGTTTCTTTGCGGAGACCCGAGGCTTCGCCGACCACAATTTGAGTATCGCTGCTATAGAGAGTTTTAGCAAATGTACGTAAGATCTTCAATTAATGTTACACTAAACTTAGATTGTGACATTTTTCATAAACCTTTAAAGCGGCTGATTACAATGTAAGTGATAAAAAATTTTAATACTTATTTATACCACCCTCCCCTAGTTGTGCTATCCCAGTTAGAAGAATAAAGTTTATGAACTAGTTGTTATAATTTACAATTTATTTCTTTTGTTTAATGAACACTCTGTCTTTGAGGTGCTTCTCTTTCATATTTTATTTCCACTCTGGGTCTTTTCTTAGTAGATCCAAATTTGTTCTTTTTAGGTGTTGTACTTTTTTTAGATGAACTTGGTGCTAAATCTTCAATGATTCAAAACTACTGTCTAGATCAACTGATTGTGGATTCCCACTATTACTTTCTAAATCACTATCTTCATCAGCTGATTCAGCGGCTATAAATTCTGGTCCTTCTTCTTCGATTTCCATTTCGATTTCTTGCTCTATTTCTTCTTCTGATTCTAATTCTTTCTCTTGTTCAGCATCTTCAAATGTCTGTGGTGAAATATTATATAAATCTTGATATACACCTTGTTTAAGCCTATCCAATAAGGTTTTTACAACACCTTTTTCTATTCTTGCTGCTATTAGAGCTCTTTCTTCTCTTCTTCGTTCCCTTCTTTCTACCTTACTTTGAATTGGTACCATCAACATTCAGATTATCAGTTTTAAGAAAAATCCAAAATTTGATGTATTTACTGGTACTTGTTTCGAAAATATCAGAAAATCATCTTCAAGTATTTTTGGATATCCTTTAATTGGAACTTTCTATCTTCTTTTCACTTGTATAATATGCTAGTAATGATTACTATATATTTCATGATATTAAGTTTTAAACGACTTGCCATGGCTTATTCTGTAAAATTATCTGACTCCTTTTGTGATGGTGGGTGGGGTGGGTTTTCCTTATTTTTAAGTGATCTTTAAGTCGCCCCGGGGTGCCTCGACAAATAATAATAGCTGTCCCTACCCTGCACAAGCTCTAGTTATGAAGTTAAAAAATTCACTCGCAAGGAAGTGAATAGGGAGAATATTATTATTTTCAACTTAAATAAGGCTGGTATTACTTTTTTTTATCATTTATGTTTATGTGTAATTTTTTACCTTGTAGTGTGTGTTTGTGTTCTAAAAGCGAAAACTTACTATTACTCGTTTATGTCAGCGAACTATACCCCCAGCTGAATCACATGTTTTATATCAATTGTCCGTTATGTATGTCAACTACAATTTTTACATTTTGTAAGCTGTAGGTATATTTTAACATCTAAACAATTTTTCGGTTTTAGCAAGAAGTAAATTAAAAGTCATTGTGAAAACTGAAAATGAAGATCATATTTCTGATATCAATGAAGATATAAATTCAAATGATCTGGTGGATAATGAATCTTTACATCTTTCTGATGATTATAATGATGATGATGCAATTTCAGATCATAGTTATTCAAATAAAATAATCAAGACCGAAGACAAAGAAGAAGAAGTAAAAAAAGAAAAAGAAGTAAAAAAAGTAAAAGTGAAGGAAGTAAAGAAAGTAAATACCTATAATTAGTTTGTAATTAAAAATATCTAATTTTTTTTTTGTTATAGAAGAAATCTGAAAGTACTAGATTTCAATGTATTTCATTTGATGAAAAAGGAAATAAAATATACACTTGCTGTTTCTGTTCAGAAAAATTTGAAGATAGACTAATGTATAAAAGACATAAATTTAAAGAATATAGCAAAAGAAGAGCAAAGCCGAAAACTAAGATAACTTGTAGTATGTGTGGAAAACTAGTAAGCAGAGGTAATTATTCTGCCGTCCTAAAAACAGATGCCGTATCTACTGAGAGCGTCAAGCGATGAAAATGAGGTTTAAAGTTATTACCTTAGTCGGTAAAAGTGCTCAGATGCGACTAAGTATGTTGGATTTTTAATATTTTGGAAACATATAACGGCATTTCTACTTAGTAAGAAGTTAATTTAGCTTGCCACGAACCTATGGATGCAAAAACTTCAAAATCCGACTTTTGTAGATACGGCATCTATTTTTAGGACGGCAGTATTGTTCTAATACTATTTATACTAATTCCTTAAAAAGTTGGTACAGATTAAACAAAAAATTGCATTAATAATAAAACATAATTTACCTCAAAAATTAAATTGTTTTGTTCCAATAATTATACACTTGTTCCATAATTATATTTTTACTAATGCCCCCTACCTAAGGGGCCTCAGCATTGGGGATACAGATTATTATTAATGAAGTAATTAATTAACAAAAGTAACAATAATAATTATAGTACAAAAAAATACTTCTTTATATCACACGTAGGTGGAAAACCACACAATATACACTGTGTTTTAAAAAACATGTGCCATCGCTCGTGGAGTGATTCCTTACCAAAAAAATAAAACAAATAGTTCTTATCAACATGCGCCTGCAGATGCTTTGTTTCGAAGATACAGAGTGTCATAATTTTACTTTTTTGTTCAGTGGAAAAAAGGTAACTTATTGTAATGCGAGCCATTTCGTTATGCTTTAATCCTCCAAGTCCCTCTTCGTCTTATTTGGCATTTGAGGCTCAACTTGTCCGATTATCATACATAATTAAACCCCTTAAGACCAAACATATGTGACTACTAGAGAATGAACAGGATAATTTTACTAGTTTTGTCGAGAATTTTATAGAACCTTCACCAGAATTTTAAATGTGTATAAATATTGGTGGAGGAACACGGAGCAGTCAATCGTATACAAAGTTGTGAAGATAAATAGTGAACAATTTAAAGACATTCGAAATATATAAATTAGAATAGTATTGTTTTAAAATAAATAAGTGTTCAAAGAAATTATTAACAAATAAACTGTCGTTTAAAATAAACATAACATTGGCAGAGAGGTTTAAAAAAGCACTAGAAAGTGAAGGTTTGGATCCGGAAACGTATCTATTTTCTGATGATGTTTCTTCTATAATTTCTTGTTTGGAAAGTAAAATGTCTCCTTTCTCTTTATAATTCTAAAATCAAGATCGTTTTCATCTGGGTTAAAAGTCATAAAGGGATAGTTGGAAATGAAAAAGTCGATTTAGCTGCTAAATAATCAATTCGTCTTCCAAGTATTAGTAATATTCATTCTCCGCAGGATATTATTCATGCAATGAAACGAAATGTTAGATCAAGCTGGGAGAAACTTTGAAAACACTTTGTTTCTCATTCAAATATCCCATATACATTTATTCACCCTGTTCTTCCAAAATGTGTTCCCCACATTACAAATTTTAAAATGTCTAGGTATTGTACGACTTTAACAAGGATGAAACTAAATCATGGGGGTTTTCCGTCTCACCTTTCCAGAATTGGTATTAATATATTAGTCCAGCAAATGAAGGAAAAAAGCTGCAGATAATTCCTACAATTTTCTTATGGGGTGGGATTTGTAGGTCTGTTAGCGTACTTTCAAATGCCAAATTGGCCTAGAGCTGAACCCGACCTCTGTAGGGAAAAATGGGCCCTGAAGGCCCATTTTGAGGTTTTCCGCTGTTATCTTCCAAAATATACAATTTAGAGATTTTTTGTTCAGATAAGAAATGAAAATCATCTGAATTCCTAAAAAAATGGTCCTTAGGTTTTTTTTTTTCGCCAGATTTGTATTTTTCGCGCAAACGGAGGAACAAATGTGAGCGTTTTTTCGTCTCCCGCCAAGTATACAGGAGCGTGCTTTCTATGGTTTGGATGACGCGCCTTGGAATAAAATTTCCAATAACTCGGTCAGAAATTGATATTTTCTTACAATTCTGGGCTCATCTTAAAGAGGAAACCCAGACCTACAAGAACCTGTGCATTGGGCCTGTTTTTGAATTGAGCCTCTGGTGAAAAGAGGGGCCAAAGTTTGGTTCCTCATTGATTTTTCACGAGAATCAGATATTTGGCCAGTATAAAGAAAAAACAAAATATTTTATTGTTGTTTTTTGCTGTAATGGGGCTCCGGAAGGTGTTTAACCATCTCTGCGAGTTTGGTTCAATATTTTTCAATATAGAGTGCATGTGCACGGCATCGATTTTCGGTCATTTTCGGAGTTCCGGAAACTTTGTCCAAAAAACGCGAATTGCATCGATTCAACAGGGCCAATCCCTTTACTAGGTACATCATTTTAAAGGTCTGAATATCTTCTTCTGCATATTTTGTTCTTTACTTAAACCAGTTTCGTTTAGATCACAAAAATTGGTCACTAACGTGAAAATCAGACATTTTTTTTCGAATAATTTTTTCTTTTTCCTCTTTATTTTCTGGGGATTAATGCTTGTACCAAAGTAAAGGGGATATTCTGACCTAATAATTGATATATGTCATTAATACCAATGTATCCCTATATTTAATCTCCTTTAATATAAAAACGTGCTTCCAAAGCGTTCGTTCTGGATGTTTCATCAAATTTTTTCCATTGCGGCATTTTGTGTGCACTACGCGTGCGGCGAAGCGCCATGATGGTATATAGTGTCATAATATACAAACACGTGCAGCCGTCTGCTCGACTCGTGGTGGTGCACGTTGCTTTGTTTTGTTATTATTTTCCTTGTAAAAATTTGGTGTTTATACAGAAAGAGTACTATATATTTATCGATAATTGTTGTCTCGTTAGTACTAAAAGAGGCAAAAAATAAGGAGTTTCAGGTTCTCTTCACAGTATTTTTCCTTGCAATCTAATTGTTGAACGTTGTTTTTTGGAGCAGAGGGTAAGCTATTGTTTGTTTTCTCCGAGTTTATGGATTTGATTGTTGTGACAATTTTATTTACAAAAAAAATTTTCTTATAGAAAGATGGAAACGGATACTGGAATTGAAACGGTATGTTTCATATGTAATGAAACCATCGTGTACGATGGCGTCATTTTAACTAGTAACTTGTAATTTTTGTAATTTTTCAATAATAAATAAAGTTTCTGAAAGACACAATTCAACAAATTTTCTCCTGGTTTCTTGCAAAAAATTCGCAAAAAATGGCAATGACCCCACAGGCAGACTGTGCACCAACCTCTAAATCTTGTTAATGCCTTAGCAAAAGACGGGATACTTGGAAAATGCGCCACAAGAAAAAGTTGATTTTTGGAAATTTGCGATAAATTCGCACCTCTCACCCTTTGTGGGATAGTCCTTCAAGTGCGCGAATGAAGTACAGGCTACTGAGAAGGTAATTTGGTAAAAAAAAAGAGATGTTATGACTCAATAGTTCTAGGAGCATCTATAATCCCGGGATGGTCATTTGTGGATCTTATAATTTCGCGAATGGCGTGAATATGCTGGCGGCATCTACAGGTCTTCTTCATAGTCCAAACAACTGAGATCCGTCTATTTCGAAGACAACTGGGCTGAAATTCGATGAGAAACTGACCCATTTCATTAGTCTAAAAAATACGACTTTTTGTTCCTCCGTTTGCGCGAAAAATATCAATCTGGCGAAAAAAAATCATAAGGACCATTTTTGTAGGAATTCAGATGATCTTCATTTCTTGTCTGAACAAAAAAATCTCTAAATTGCATATTTTGGAAGATAATAGCGGAAAATCTCTTTTCAGGACCTTTAGGCCCCATTTTCCCCTACAGAGGTCTGGTTCAGCTCCAGGCCAATTGGGCATTTGAAAGTACGCTAACAGACCTACAAATCCCACCCAATAAGAAAATTGTAGGAATTATC